AAGGGATTTTAATTTTTACTAATGGACATTCAACCGTACTGTTACAGAAATACGACTTAAATTGCTATGCTTTAAAATGATGCCGTGGCATTGAAAGGGATTTTATCGCACGGCATTAAAAGACGCGCCACAGGCTCCCGTGGCGGGATGCCGTGGCATACTGCGGTAGGCAACGGCATGCCATGGACTCCGGCGCTCGTAGTGATATACTGCGGGGTGCGGGGGCGGGGGTAGCGGGGAATGCACACCATTGACCATCCATTTGTGCCCGCGTCTTTGACGACTGTGTACCTACGTGATTTTTCCGGAGACCAGTTTTTTGCGTTTTTTATTCCAACATGGAGGAAAAATTAATAACTTTAGTTCAAGCCTTTGATTATTTATGTATAATATGTCATCAAAACATTATTTGAACACTCAGATGAAGAACAATGCGTGGAAAAGAATTGGAATAGAAATGAATAAAACAGGTAAATATTTTTGCAATATAATTATATTTTAGGTTTTAACACGGTATTAGTGTCTATTTACAATATCGTTTTGCCATGGAATCGAGCCCTCATCAGACTTAAAGTAATCTTTAAACATCTCCCGTACCGTTATACCATCTAATGCATTGTTCATATTATTATCGTTTTCTAAATTAATGCTTACACTTACTTTATTTTGGCTTTCTGTGCTTGTACCACCTATGATGAAATTGTGTAAGCAAGTACATGCTAAAATTATATTATCAATATATTTTGGTTGAACCTGAATTCCTTTTTAACATAATTCGAAACGTTCTTGAAGTATACCAAATGCATTTTCGACGATACGGCTGGCTCTACTCAAACGATAATTGTATATTTTCATTGCTTCATCTGTCAATCGATCGCCACTAAATGGTCTCATAATGTTTGTGGTTAACGGAAAAGCCTCGTCTGCTACAAAAACATAGGGCAACTTAAGATCTGTCCTCAGTAAACGTTTTTTTGGGGGAATACCGAGGGCATTAGAAGTCCAAATATTGAGTTTTGCATTATACCTCCATCACTATTTCGTCCATATGATCCTACATCTGCAATCACAAATTTATAATTTGCATCCACAACCGCTAGTAGTACGATACTAAAAAACTTTTTATAGTTTATGCAGAGACTTCCACTATTGCGAGGTGCCTTTATTCTGAAATGTTTACCATCTATTGCACCGATGCAGTTCGGGAAATTCCATTTTTCATCAAATTCCATCGCGATTCGCGTCCATTTTTTGTTGTTTTTGGCATAACACTAGGGCTTAGGACATTCCAAATGACACGGCAAGTTTCATGTACTTTATAGTACATGTAAAGCTCACTGTACTAAACTCCATACGATAGCTGTAACCTAGAGACTTGAAGCTACTTCCCGTGATCAAAAATCTGAAAGATAATATAAGTAGGGGTAAGTGAGGCAGAGTGAAAGACAGGACACAGTTAAACAAAGTCAATTAAATAATACGATATATGTATTTATATATAATTATGAATTCCTCAAGATATTTTCCTTCACCGTAATGCCAGTGGTAATTTTTACTTAGAAAAAGATTAGCTCAATATAATCCCATAAACATAGCTGGTGCTAACCTAGTCACTATCTAAGGCCTTTTCCCATTACCTACTTATTCTGGTTCTATACCATTTTACCTGCTTATGTTTTGTTTTAGGTGAAGAATGCCAGGAAATATGGGGTAATATACGTAATAATTTTAGGAAAGCTCTGAATAACAGAAAAACAAAGACTGGCGACCCGTACACAAAGCGACGCCCTATCAAGTTAGAAAAAGAGCTGGAGTTTGAAAAAATTCATTCAGCGCAGAAAACAAACCTTGAATTTGGACTCCTCTTCAGAGAATACGCAGACTTCTTTCGCAGAATTCGCTGTCGATGATAATGATGAACTTTCAGTTTCGCGAATGACCAATGATTCACACCATTCTTTAATAAGACCAGAACCTACAACTGCTGAAATACTAAATAAATACATTGAATCGAAAAAGGAGGTGGACCCCATTGATTCGTTCCTTCAAACAATGGCTGCCACAATAAAAAAAAACTACCAGAAAGAGTGCAGGTCCAAATAAAGAGATAAATATTTAATATGGTAACTGACGCCGAATTAAACTACATAGAGGGAGCTCCAGCTCCAACATCTGAAGATGTCTCTAGCAATTTGCAACATCAACGACCATGCCGTACTGCTTCTACTTCAAGATCTGGCTGTGGAACCGCGGTAGGCTTGAGCTATGAAGCTGTATAAGGGTCTGGCTATGAAACCACCTCAAGATCTGGCTATGAAGCAGCTTCGGGGTCTGGCTTTGGAACCGCTTCAGGCTCTGGTAATGAAGCTGTTTCGGGGTCTGGCTATGGCACTGTCTCGGGCTCTGGTTATGAAGCTGTTTCACGGTCTGGTTATGGTACCGCTTCTGGCCCTGGCTATGAAGCTGCTACAGGGTCTGGTTATGAAACCGCCTCGGGCCCTGGCTATGAAGCTGCTTCAGGGTCTGGCTACAAAACTGCAGTTTTTGAATACGAAACTAATCTAAACTAGTAGGTACTCTAAATTAAGTAAAAACAAATAAAGATCCAGGGATTATCAGTGAGAAAATTTGACAACACTACATGATTGCATTGGCAAAAAATATTGTTTTTTTTTTTAATTTAATAAAAGAAGAAAAAATAAAACTTACAATCATTTAACTACCCACCTCAAAGAGAAGGATAATCTTTGATCGGCTTCAATGGGGTTGCGAAAATTGGTCCTCTGTTTTTCGATATATGGTCGACATATATTCGACAGTGCTTGAAATTTCTCATAATCCATTCTATGATAGTCATAAAATTTTTGCACGTTGTATTTTAAGTCATTAAATAAATGATTGAATTCACCTTTTGATTCCCTTTCTTTCCATACATTACCAACCCAACATCTTCTGTCCCTATTGTTAGCCTGTGCACCTTCTTCATCTGCAACAATCGACATCAACACCAAATCCCAAGCTACCATTTTAAAGCTGAGCCACACCAACACTCGATCAAACGCAACTGAAGACTAAAAGTGTATCAGGCAGCAGGAGTCGCTGAGGCGTGCTTTGTCGAGCCGCGGCACGCCGTGGCATGCCGTGGCAAAGTGCTGGAATGCCGCGGTATCTAAGCGGCCAGTGTGCGCTGACTCACGGCATAATCTCTTGCCATGCCGTCCCGGTCTGCGTAGGCCCTTAGTGTCCATTTCGAAAGTATTAGTAGTGTATAAAAAGTGATGTATGAAAATATTCTAAACAACAGCATTACTGCCTTTTGCTATTTATATTACTTAATTTCTATCTAAATGTTTACGGATTAATATTAATACGAATCTCACCACTAAATGACTTATAGTACACGGTGACGTAGAACCACGTTTAAGTCACGCTCACGCGGAACTATCTAGCCGTTTATTGTATGGTATGTTTTTTTTCAGTCACGCATAAAATTTAAAATATTTTATAATCTTTAAAAAAATACATTTATTGAACATAATAATAACTACAGCACAATAGAACTTTAATTAGTAACATTTATTAAAATACTTTAAATTGCAAACAAATCATTTGATCAAGATATATAAAAAATACTTGACAAAAATTCATTTAAATTTTATGTACATTTTTATCTTGCATTTTGTACATTTTTATCTTGAACTGAATTTTTAAAGTACAATTATTAAAAACACAATTACTATTACTACCATTTACCGTCACATTACAATTGCTAAAAAATAAGACTGTTGTGAATTCCTAGCCAACATCTGGTTCATACAAAACTTCTGTAAATTGAGTCTCATTGCATCACTTAGGTCCCGTGTGATTAAATCCTTAGATTGATTTAATTCTTGTACTGAAACATTTTGATTCTCTGTATTTGTTAACAAAACTTTTTCATTCGGACATGATGTTGATATTTTAAATCTAGAATTCTCAGAAAGAACATTTTTGTTTGATTTTAATATCAAATAATGTTTTTCTTAAATTTGGATTAAAGTCAAATTTTGTGGATTTAAGTCACTTGTACTATGAAGTAATGTATGATGAATGTATGATGAACACGGAACTTAAATAACCCATATTGAACCATGTGAAGTTAGTGCAATTGTCGGTTACTTAATCCCTTGTATTGTACAGTGGCTATTCAAATTATTATATTCAAACCATGAAATAAGATTTTTTTTTAAGTTTTTTAAGTTTAAATTTCTTTAAGTAATAAATTTAATCTGTTTACTGGTATTATATGTTCACTAGAGATTATAAAAATATTTCTGAAAATAATTAAACATGTTTTTGGTGTGAAAAGTTAATTTAATTCAAGTTTTTTTACAAATTAATATTTTGTAAAACCACCCTTTTGTGCAATAACTTCTTGAAGTCGACGAGGCATGCTGTCTATGCAATTTTTTGATATTGTTTTTAGTTCTGGGGTGTTAAACCAAACTTTGATTATCTTCTCAATCAGTTCTTGTTTATTAGTTATGACTTTTTCTTTAGCTATTTCCTTTTTTAATGCAACCCACACATTTTCTATGGGGTTTAGATCTGGAGAGTTACCAGGCCATTCCAACACCTTTATCTGATGGTCATTTAGGAGTTTTGAAACTTTTTTTGCTTTATGACATGGGGCTGAGTCATGCATAAACAGGAAATCCTTATTAGGAAACCATTCTGATGTCTGTGGGATCAGTTTTTCTAACAGAACTTTAATGTACTGATCCTGCCGCATGGTGTTTTCACATGTAGAGGTGTCCGTTATCCTTTGCACTGATAACTCCCCAGATCATTATGGATAGTGGATGCTTCACTCTCTCTACAATACAGTCTTCTTTGAATTTCTCATTTGGTCTCCTACGAACAAACTGCGTATGGTCTTGCAAGATCTGGATACTCGACTCATCAGAGAAGCAAACCTAGAAATCCCAAACATGATCAATTCACATTAGTAAAGACATGTCCATACAGTGATACAATACAAAATACGTTTAAAATACAATATATTACTTTATGCCAGTCTTCTGCAGTCCAGTGTTTATATTTTTTTTTGCAAACCCTCGGCGTTTCAGACACATGGCAGGAGTCAATTTTGGCTTCTTCAATGGTCGACGGCAGGAAAAGTTTTGTTCCTTCCATCTTCTACGTAACGTCATGTCGGACAGAGTCACTCCAGCCTCTTCGAGATTATCTCTAATGACTTTTCTGGGTTTATTTCGATTTTCTATGGTTATTTGCCGAATTTTTCGCTCATCTCGAGGCGTAGTGATGCGTTTGCGTCCACAATTTCCGGAACGTTTCGGCGGTTTCTTTCATGGACTCCCCTTGTTGCACAACTTTACTGATATTACGCATTGTAGATTGAGAAACCTTGCACATTTCTGCTATTTTCCTTTGAGAATATTTAGAGTGTTGTAGCAAAGTCTTAATTTCAGTTTTCTTTTTTGGAGACACGTCAGAACACTCCCCCATCTTCAAATCTATTGAAAGTGAGCTTATGTTGATGAAAAAGACGCATTTTAAAATTAAATATGTATTAGACAGCAAAAAACTGCGAAATGCAAGAAGTATAATAACTAATTACAAAGTAAAACCAATAAAACATACCTTTTACTGAATATAATAGACACAGAGAGCATGTGCTTACAGAAATGCAAAATTGACAACGAAACAAAATGGCGTCTATCACAGTGTTGCCTAGTTAAAAGTAGACAATTTTAGTGTTGTAAACTATAAAGCATAAAATTATTAATCATTTCCAATTTATTTGATTGAACTAGAACCGTCGTTGTAAAGTATAATTGGTTTTAAATACTAAATAAACGGAATAAATATGTTGAGTAAATAATTTGAACATCCACTAATACTAGCTGAAATATATTAGTAAATAAAAAATAATTGTAATATTATTTATCTATTTCAATAACTTTATTAATTTATTTAGAGTACTTAAATCCATAACGTTATTAAAAAATATTCCAGATTATTCCTAATATCAACGCGAGCGGGTGGACTCGGCATCAATCTAGTGGCAGCGAACCGTGTTGTAATTTTCGACGTGTCATGGAATCCCTCACATGACGTCCAGAGTATTTTCCGCGTCTATCGTTTCGGACAGAAGAAACCCTGTTATATTTATAGGTTTCTTGCGATGGTAAGTCTTCACCCTTTTTTAATAAACTCTTCTAATATATAAATGCTAATGTGTGTTTGTTAGTTTGTGCCTCTTTCGCTTTCTCACAAGGGGGGCAATATTACAACATTATTTTTAGCATAGAGAGAGTATTTTTTCGATTTATGGTTAGTATTGATTCGCGGAGAAATACACGAGAGTGGACCTAGAGTGTAATTCTGTACATACTTATTTATGCTATTTTAGGTCTTGGAATAACATTCGCTCCACACGAGCGATGTCGCTGGCAAAAGTTAGTTTTTAAATAAAATTTTAATAATTAATATATTAATATTAATAACAATAAATACTTAAAATGAGAAAGCCACTCAGTGTAGCTTATTAAAGTTTAAAAATTTTATAGTACACAAGTAAATCAAGTGTGACCTCCACCAGTACCATATGGTCGGTAGTGATGGAAAACATTGTGAGGGATATATATGCATATCTGAAGAAGTGAAAAAAATTTCTAGCATATGTAAAGTCCGCTAACATACACTTGGAGTCTCAGCCATGAAGGTTAGAGAACAGGAGAACGATCACTACGTACTTAAAGCATGCCCGCCTGCCCTTGAAAATTTTAGAATATATAGCGGCGCTGACGTCGGTGAGTAGTGACTGCGAAGTTAGCTGTTTATTAGTACAAGTCTTAGAGCATACATTACATGGAGGGAGCACTGTGTGAGCAGAAAGCGTGATCGGCGTAGAGAGAGAGAGACTGAGTTTAGGTACAGTCTGGCTCTCTCGCACAGTCACTGTCATTGGCTGTTTCATTGGGCATGCGCTCGCGCGATGCAACGGTGGAAAACACGCCAGCCAATCAGAAGCATGTGCGAGAGAGACAGACTCTACCTAAACCTTAGAGCACCGATCACGCTTTCTGCTCACACAGTGCTCCCTCCATGTAATGTATGCTCTAAGGTATAAGTAGATGAAGTTAGTTGAATAATGTAAAAATTTTTATTTCATTTTTAATGATAAAATTTTCATGCTCCGTAATTTTGTAATTTTTGACAAAAAGAAACATTAAAAAATGGAGAAATATTTTATTGTGCGTGGATGTGCAAGTGGTTTAGCATCTGATCGGAAAAATAGACTGAAAATGACTTTTATTGACCGAACTTAGTGATCGCAGCGCCTCACTTATGGTTTCTATATTTCTGGGCCACTATTTTCTACGGCGATCGTTCTCCTGTTTCTCTAACCTTCATGGTCTCAGCTATGAGAGGAAGCCTTTGCTCTGTGGTACATATGCAGGCTGTTACATAACAAAATTCACTACCGTATTATTTATCCCGTGAGCGTCGTAAGAGGCGATAAAGAGAAACTGAAACTGCGTCTTTCTGATACAACTCATTTGCCAACCCTCCAGCCAAGTGTGACACAAATGTCTTTCCTATGAGGTGATATATGGAGAGTCCAATTCAGCAGTGGACATTTTGGTAGGCTATCAAGGAATGTTTAAATAATATAGATTTTGTGGAAATTAAATTTTAGGGCACAATGGAAGAGAAAATCTACGAGCGTCAGGTGACAAAGCAGGCGATATCGAAGCGCGTGATCGACGAGCAGCAGATCGACCGGCACTACGCGGAGAACGACCTGGCCGAGCTGTACAAGTTCGAGCCGCGGCCGCCCGTGCCGCGCCCGCTGCCGCCGCTGCCGCGCGACCGCCTGTTCGCCGAGATGCTGCGCGAGCACGATGCACAGGTCGCTTAGCCACACAGCCATCTAGCCACCTAGCCACTGCCACTACATAAATTCAAATAAACAGTCCACGACGCACATTTTTCCAATTGAGAAATTTTTGTAAATAAAAAGTTCAATATGTTTATCGTAACAAAAAAATCAAGAGACCTTTTTACTTTTTTATTATTTAATGGCAAAGGAATCTATGCCCATACAGCCTAGTCTGACATGCATTTCCAAAATTCTTCGCTTGAAACAGAAACGAGTCCTCCTTACGCCATCACATCTGTAATCACGCTGGTATTGTAAATTCATCATAGACAGCGGTTGACACTTACTATCAGGTCAGCCGCAACAGCATGTTTGTTTGCCAAATTTCTATTTTTTTTTAAATGAGTTGCACCATACGCGACCGACAATTAAAAAATCTAAAATCGGTTGTAAACATTTGCGTAAAAATCCGAAAACACCAATATCTAAAATTTAAATTTGTACATTCTTCATTTATTTTTATATTTCAGCAAATTTGTCCTGGAAAAAATGACCAAAACAAAATCTCATTACTTATTATTAGCAATAAACCTATATTTAAAATCTAAGTTTATTATAATAATATATTAATCTAATGTAACAAGAAAAAAGTAAGGTTTCTATGTAATAATTTACGCATCTATATTCACAGATCTACAAATATCACGAGCATGATTCACTTCTCGAAAACAAAGAAGAGGAGACGCTTAGTGAAGAGGAACGTAAAGCGGCGTGGGAGGACTTCGAGAATGAGAAAAACCGCCCGCCACCTGCGCCCTTCCCGGCGCCCTGGCAGATGGCTAACGGAATGGGTGAGAAAACTTATCAAAGAGAATTTCAATCTAATATATAAAAGTTTATGGTTGTTTGTTCATATTTTATGCCTTTTCATACCCATCAGATTGCTGTAAAACTTTGCCAACTTATTGCTTGCACTTGCGCGAAGGTTATAGGCATAGTACAATTAACTTACAGTATGTGGCGTATCGTATTTACAAATTTATTTGAAGGTTATATATCATTCAACTTCAAATAATATATTATTCCTAATTAAACAAATTCCAAATTTAAAACTATATTTTCGCAATTATTTCTTCTTCGGCTGCAACGCACTGGATACTAGCTAGTTCGTTATAAAATAATAATACAAGTATTTCAAATATGTACAAATCAAACGTCATTCTTTTATTTCTTTATTTGTGCATGTTTCTAAATTTAAATAGATAAAATATATGTAAAAGTATATCAAAAATATGATTTGCTGTGCTATATGGGACATCATGGACTGTTACTTTATTTTTTTAAAGTAAGATACTTCAACTTCTGGAAAATATGTCTTTGTGAAAAAAACACTAGCAAAATATTTCTGTCTTTTTTTTCACTAAGGGAGCTGAAAACAGTTTACAGAATAATTTCATTTTTATTATTGCTAGGTACGTAAATAAATTAAAGATATAGCAATAATAACACTTAACATGTTAATAGTCTGTTTTATTACATTTCTCTGAAAGAATTTAATAAATAGTGTTATATCAATTTTGACTTTGTTTAACTTAACTTAAAAAGTAACACCCGTATTATTTATTTTTCCAAGTGCCCGGATTGCTGGCGCAACAGCAACAACAGCTGGCCTTCGCCGCTCTCGGAGCTATGATCCGCAAGACTGTGCCTAATGTCAACGACAACCAGATACGAGATATGCTGCCTCTCATTTATAATGCCAATCCAGGGGTAAGGATTTCATCTTAATTTTCCATCAATTATCTGCGTTTCTGTTTTCTCCATATAGTATTTCAAAGTTACTAGGCACTGAAATATATATAGGGTGATTTTCAAAAATATATTAGGTGATTTTATCATATGGCCAAAATAAATAAAGGAAGAAGTGATTTTCTGTGCTGATTTACTCGAGTGGTTATAAATAAACCTGCATGCTATCTCATATTAAATGTACTAATATGCATTGGGGCGGCTTGGTAGACTCTCTTGGTTAAATATCTCTCGGAAATGAGGGTAGTCTTATATATGGTCTCAAAACTACAATGTGGTGAAAACCAACTTTTTGATGTTAATTGGTTTTTAACTAACCAAAGGGTCCTGGCAACCTAATAGTGGACAGTCTTCAAGAAGGCTGAACCAAAAATCCCTCGGACTGATGATGGGGAACAACATTACTAGAGTGACATATCTGCTTTACTCTCACCAACCTGCGTACCCAGCATGGTGAATAATGGGCAAATCTTTCAAATAATGTTTGCTAGCTGGAAACCAATTCTTAGAATGGCCAATTTCTAGCACTAAACTTACAAAGATTTGAAAAAATTAAGAAAACTACAACACTTTTGTTCTGTTAACACCTTTGCCTAATTAGGTATAGGTCACTTTAGATGAAGACCATAAGGTTTTGATATATGTTTATTACATTATTAATTTGAACCAAAACCTAAAAGGTATAGGGTAAATATTTATGCCATCAAAAACATAACTTGTAAAAAAAACAAGTCTCACAACTCATTTCTTCTATCGTAAAAAGTTGTGAAATCTATATAATACCAAATCGGTTAATTTATTCAGTTCCTACTTAAGGGTTCTTCTGTCTTAAGTTATTACGTAATTAGCTAACATAACTACATCTTATTGTGACCATATCAATATTAAAAATCTTTAATGTTTTAAATAAATAAATTGACTTGGGCCATCGTATGAAAACACAATGTATCTCACAAGTAATACATAATATATTAAATTCGATTGCTTACTGCGATTGCTAAGTCAATCTATTGTATATAACAGAATAATAAATAAGCCTCTATTATAGTAATTATTCACTTAACTCACCGATTTAAACATGTATTTGTTGATTTTAGAATTTAAGAAAATATTGATTCTATTATATTTATTTGTTTAGATGTTCGGTGGATATGACTATGGCGTAAGTTGTTGCCGATATTTGTATTGTCTTTTATATATTTTCTTTTTGCTTCACGCCAACATATCCGCTTTACTTCTTATATTGGCATGTTCTTATTTAAAATCGATGTCCTATTTTATGATTTAAATATACTCAAATAAGTAGTTGTTATAGCGTATTTTTTTTAATTAACTGTATATTTTATTATGTTAAATGTGTTTATGCAGAATTTTCTTGTGATTTATTTTATATGTGTGTATCGTAAGTTGTCTTATTGTATATTTTTTAATATATGCAATATTTCGATTTTTTTTAGTTAATGCAGAAAATGGGCGACATCTACAAGTATGCACAACCAGGCATGATGAACCCGGCCATGATGAATCCAGTTATGAATCCTGGTATGTTTAAACTTTTAAATCGTTTTGCATAAGTATTTCAAAGGTGTACTTTGTGAGACAAAATTATGTTAATTTGCATTTTTAATTTATTAGTTATTTATTAATTAAAGGAATTCAAGGAAAGGAGAAGTAAATCTTTTTCAGTTCTTGGAGTGAAGCTTTGGAATTCCTTACCATCAACTATAAAACGTGCTCAAAAAATAGACTCCTTTAAAAACCAAGTTAAAAAACAATATCTTCCTTCTAAATTATCACTCCTCCTTTTATCTATTCCTGTCGTTTTATTCCGGCATATTCATTAATTTACTTTTATATTTGTAGATTATAATATTTATAGTGCACTCTACCTATTAATTAATTTTTCACTTATTTTTATTTTCTATTTAGGTTGTCTGGAAGAAATTGCTGCATAGCAATAAGACCGCCTTTTGTTTTTCTCTTTGTTTGTTTCCTGTTATGTTGTTTTCTTAGTGTTCAATAAAGCGTATTGTATTGTAATTAAACGAATTGTTTACTTTTTAATTTATTGTCTGTAGTGTAATGTTATTACAGATATTGTTGTTTGCAATATTAAAATTGTTTTGTCATTTTACAGATTCAATAATAAACTAAATTGGTCTTATTACAAAATGTGGTTTTAAACCTGAGACATTTAATATATCATGTTCGATAGTCTTTGGTTTGAACTATGTTTTAACAAAATTTTAAAAAGATTACTTTGATAGTTTAAAACTTGAGACTACACCAGACTATGTAATTAGACTAAATCAAACGGGTAACGAAGGTTTAGACTTATTTTGTAAGAAAATGTTGATACGATAATTGACCAATGATAAGAATTTAGACAGTTTTGGATTATTTTGTCCTTTTTTTGATAAAAGCTAAAGTAATTATTATTATACTAGATGTTTCTGTTGTACTATTGTCATTCTATAATTTTCGTAAAGTTACCGTTACCGTTTACCGTTTATTGAAGTCCACTGCTGAACATAGGCCTCCCCCATAGATTGCCTCATAGGGGGGATATTTGCCATAGTTGCAACGCTTGGCAAGCAGGTTTGCAACCACAGTTTTTAAATCTAAATCCTTCTGTGGTTACTATTGAACTAAAAACCCTATTTGCGCTCGTATTCTGTGAGAGTGATTCTGAGTCGTTAAGACAGTAGATTTCCATAAGAGATATTTTCATTCAATCACTTTTGGTGTCAAATTATAAGTGATCTCTGGTGTGTTTCCTAATGTTATTTACGTTATTCAATTTACTTTTTTAACAGGTGGTGGTGCAGGAAATTTAGGAGGTTCTAGTGGCTTGCAGTACGAGCCTCCGTGGCAGAGGCAACAGCAGCAACAACAAAATATAAGGTTGCAACAGATGATGCAGCAACAACAACACCAAAATGTAAGTTTAACAATTAAAATTGTATTATTTGATAATTAAAAATAAAAGATATTTAGGTAATTATCCCATCCCATAAATAAATATCCCATATATTAGTTTTAAATATGATTATTGTGGAAGTAATTTATTTCAATTTATATTTTATTAAAAATATTTAGCAAATTACAGTACAGTACAATTGTAGTACACTAGTAGACGGTCACACACTCCTGAGGTCTAAGATTACGGTTTAAAATCTCCATGTTACACTTTATATTGATAGATTCTTTGTGTATGTTCTGAAACGTTTCCAGTATACTGCCGAATACAAATGACGTCATTAATTGACGCCATATACTAACGGCGTGCCGCCGCCATATTGTGTCGGATACACGGCCATATTTAAACAATTTTTAATTGTGTTACGCTGAATGAAGCACGCCAGATTTTTTTAAAATCAAATACAAAAAGTTATATAATAATTGCTGGTATCTCCATTCGAAGGATATAATGACTTTTGGAGCACAAAATTAAATAATAATCGCCAACACTTTTCCAATATGACGCAAATGTATGATGTCATATACGGTCAAATGGTTTGAAACCACTGACCTCTATATATACAAGTACGCTGGACTGGCTATACACCGTGACATGATGAAGCGATTTGATTTCCGCCATTTTTGCGCTGACATCAGAAGTGCACGTCCACGGAACTAATACTAGGGATAAGACAGTGTACCAAATTATATCGATAAAAATTCTATACCCTACCTATACCTAAATAAATAGAATGGACTTTATGGATAGATGGACTCTACCCGTAACGTCCTTTCTATTTATTTATCATATTAATATAATGCCATTATCATTCATCATCATTAAAACCCTTCACAAATCCACTGCTGAACATAGGCCTCCCCCAAGGAATGCAACAAAGCACGGTCCTGAGCTACCTGCATCCATCAACTTACTGCATGTCTTACCAGGTTTTGACTCCATCTAGTGGGGGAACGTCCTACACTTCACTTGCCAATACGAGGCTGCCACTCGATAACCTTTTTTCCCCATCGGTATTCGGTTCTTCGAGCTATATGGGCGGTCAATTGCAACTTCAGCTAACGAATCCATTAGGCGATGTCAGCCACTCCAGTTTAAACCCCTGAGTATAGCCCTCTTCATAGCTCGTTGAGCGACTTCGAGCTTCCTCATACGGGCAGCAGTGAAAGACCTCGTCTCAGATCCATATTTCATCACTGGCAACACTCATTGGTTGTACAATCTAGTTTTGAGGTATTCCTGACGAGAAGATATGTTGTAATCTCCCGAACGCTGCCCAGCCGAGTTGAATCCGTTGATTGCGCTGTCGGTCGAAGTTCAACTTCGACCTGACCTACCTAGTCGGACTCTTTGTCCCAGTAAAAATACTCATCAACAACTTCAGCTAAGTGCTCCCAAAAACCACAGGCATAGGTGTGACATGGACATTACACATGACTTTTGTTTTGTCCATGTTCATCTTAAGACCTATCCGTTGGGAGACACTATTGAGGTCATTGAACATAGTGCGTAGGTCATCCAGCGATTGTGCCATAAGGACTATACTGTCGGCAAATCGAAAGTGAGTGACGTACACGACATTGACGTTAATACCGTATCCTTTCCAGTCCAGTAGGTTGAAAACGTTTTCCAATGCAGCGGTAAAGTATTTCGGGGATATTACGTCACCCTGTCTTACACATCTCTACAGTTGGATTAGTTTTGTACTCTGGTTCTGTGCTCGGATAGCCATCATAGCCCTTAACCATTCAACTAAAAAATTATTAAGATTAAACTAAGTACACAAAATAAAAATAAAAACATAATTTCTAGAATAATTTATTGTCAACCGTTCACTTTGTTTTAGTATTATAAAAAACAAATCAGCTGCTATAATAACGCCTATTCTAATCAACTACAGGTCTGTCTATTGACAGTAAAATATTTTCTACTATATAAAAATTTATGTTTGTTGGTACTTTTTACGATGCCATACCGTTCATCAGATTGCGGTAAAACTATTTCAGTATTTAGTAAAACTTAGTTATTGGTTGCACTTGTGAGAAGGTTATACGCATGGTACAATTAACTGACACTAGATGACGTGCGTATTATACTGACTATTTATTTGAAAGTTATATATCATTCTATTTCAATGATTGTATTATCATTCCTAATTATACAATATAACTATTCCACATTTTTAAAGATATTTCCACAATTATTTCTTCTGCGCAGCAATGCGCCGGGTATGAGCTAGCAAGATTATATAAAAAAATATAAACTTTGAATTACATAGTTATCAGTTATTTACAACGTCATTTTCGAAATTAAAATTACAATATTAAAAAAATAACTGAAATTATCAATTACCGAGCCCGATATGTGAATGGAGCCAGGAAAAAACGAGCACTTGGAAGCATCAAGTGGTACAGCCTCACCAAAGTCGCGAAAAACAGTCGAGTGGCGCATCGCCAATCGCCATACCAACACTCCTCTTCCTGTACTGCAGGAAGAGGAGTGTTGGTATGGCGATTGGCCTCCTCTAGCCGCAGCCCACTAACACACATCCAACGTGACTCGACATCAGGCGACCTTTCGACACTTGGCTATGGCCCTTGAGTTTGGTGGAAAATGAGGAAAGAAGAAATAAAAAATCATTCGAAATAATAATCTAATACTTAGTACTTGGTAGTTGGTAGTGCTTGGTACTGGTACTACCAGAAAATATTGTCGGTATACTGCACTTTTTCAAAGTGGTGAAATGTATGGAACAAATATGATCATTTTGTTTCGCACGCCAATTCACAATATTTATGATTTTAAGCCATAATTTTAGTCTAGGTTCAGTTGGAAACCTGTTAATTAATAAACATTTGATAATCATCTGTTGTTGGTGACTTTGTTGTTAACAGATATGGGTAGGAAAGAACATCGATAAGTATTATAGACAAGGAACTCGACAACCCTATTGAATTTAATTGTTTATTAAAACTCAGTATTATACAGCTAAACATGTTGGTATATGTGATATTAAGATTAGTAACAAATTTCTAAGTAATTATATTATCAAATAGTTTTAATTTGTTTAATATTTACTGCAAATTCACTTACTTGTGAAATGTTATACCACTTCCCTTTTGGTAACCAGTTTTACAGATTACGCACCCTCTCATTATTAATGAAAATAATTCTTATTATGTAACTAATATTATATACAATCAAACAACATAAAATACTTTCGTTTTTTAAGTTCAAAATACAGACTTATTAAATATGACAATATGAATAAGACAACATACTTTGGCATATTATGTCAATTTTATTTTTCAAGACATCCTTTAGCGGCGCTTCAAATTGGCACAGTCATTTTGTATGGTATAGCCAGTCCAGCGTACTTGTATATGCATAGAGGTCAGTGTTTGAAACGAATCAACAGTATGGCGTCGAATTATGACGTCATTTGCATTGAACATACCTTTTATATGAGACAGTATGAGAAAAGCAAATTGATATTGTATTATGTGTTTTTGTCTCAATACATTGCTAAGAAGTGGAAGGAATAAGGATTCTCTTTTTGTTTAGGAGTCTGTTGGGGTAGGTACCAACCTTGTATCTAAACCTGCCGTTAAGTGGCAGTCTCTGTACTGTTGTGTTCTGGTCTGATGCGTCTGGAGAGCCAGTATAAGTAAGTAAGGCATTCCATCCTAGTGTGCAGGGATGACAACACATATTTTTTTCTTAAAGTTAGCTGCAAGTGTCCATGTACTTCAGTAACAGCTTTGATAGAAGAAATAAAGATCACAACTACACATATAGTAGAACCACGCTGCAAGTATATTATGATTGTTGCACGGATAGGTTGGCTTGACTGGGGAAGTATCACGCTTTCACAGAATACCCGCCTAAAATAATAGTTTAATGCTGCTGTGTTTTGTATGGTGACCGGAGACCCTTATTACAGGAGACGGGGCATTCAATCTCATGAGGTTTTGTTTGTGGGGTCTGTTTTAGTATGTAGCACATACAACATAGTACTTCAAGGGTAATTTTTGTAAAACTTGGTAGATGACCGCGAAGTACTACGCGGGCGGGCTGGGCAGCCGCGACCCGGTGGCGATGGCGCTGCAGCAGCAGCGCTCGCGCGAGATCATGCTCGGCGAGCGCGGGCGCCCGCGTGGCCGCCCGCCGCTGCAGCGCGCGCCCGCAGCGGCGCCTGACGTCGTCAACCTTGCCGACTCCGACTAGGTGAGCGTGCAGCAGCAGCAGCGTGCAGCAGCAGCGCTCGCGCGAGATCATGCTCGGCGAGCGCGGGCACCCGCGCGGCCGCCCGCCGCTGCAGCGCGCGCCCGCGGCGGCGCCTGACGTCGTCAACCTCGCCGACTCCGACTAGGTGAGCGTGCAGCAGCAGCAGCAGCGTGCAGCAGCAGCGCTCGCGCGAGATCCTGCTCGGCGAGCGCGGGCACCCGCGCGGCCGCCCGCCGCTGCAGCGCGCGCCCGCGGCGGCGCCTGACGTCGTCCACCTCGCCGACCCGACTAGGTGAGCGTGCAGCAGCAGCAGCAGCGTGCAGCAGTAGCGCTCGCGCGAGATCATGCTCGGCGAGCGCGGGCGCCCGCGCGGCCGCCCAGAGCAGCGTGCGCCCGCAGCGGCGCCTGACGTCAACCTCGTCGACTCCGACTAGGTGAGCGTGCAGCAGCAGCGCTCTCGCGAGATTATGCTCGGCGAGCGCGGGCGCCCGCCGTTGCAGCGCGCGCCCGCTGCGGCGCCTGTCGTCAACCTCGCCGACTCCGACTAGGTGAGCGTGCAGCAGCAGCAGCAGCGTGCAGCGGCAACGCGTGCACATTAATCGCTGCAATTATGCATATGCAACGCTACAGCAGCTTTGTATGCGAAAGACATTAGCAATACTGGCACGCAGCTGCAGGAGCTACATTTTTTTAATAACATCTACGTGACAAACAGACTCATAGTTCAGCTGGTATTATGACTACTGCAGTTCGTGGATGCATCCAACTTCAAACAAAGATGATACAGATATGTCCAGCAATGCATCTACAACACTGCAGCAACTATATGCTTTTCAGATTACAACACTATTATATTCATTATTATCCGTTTATTTATTTCATGGATCGTAGATATTATATAGATGTTTGATACATAATTATATAATCAAGTTCAGCTATGCCCTACCCTGTAGTACGTACAAATTACAAATTACGAAGTACAAATATTATTTAAAAAAGTATAAAAGAATGGAAGTAAGTACCTAAAAATAAATGTATGAAATGCGAAAACAGCATAAACAAACAGTGGGTACAGATTTTGAGAAAAACTAAACAAATTAAGCACGTCGGAAATATAATTGTCATAAATATATTGTCGTTCATATCGTCCACTGCATTGCAATCTTCTAGGCACTGGAAGCGGTTACGTAACTCGAGGTGAAAGGTTTCGGGATTCTGGATTAGAGCATGAGGGGGACGGAGCGTTGACTTCATTAGACGAGACCTCTCCAACTTAACGTTTAGGTTCAGTGTGCCTCTAACCATTCGGTGATCGCTGCCAGTTTTCACCCTTGCGATCACTGAGACATCACTGAACAGTTGGCGTCTGGTCGTCATAATGAAGTCAATCTCATTTTTTGTCGAACCGTCGGGGCTCGACCAGGTCCACTTCCTGTGGGGCCGCTTCTGGAAGAAAGAGTTCATCATAAAGAGTTCCTCTTTCTCCATAAAGTCGGCCAGCTGCTGGCCCCTTCGGTTCCGTTGCCCTACTCCAAATTTCCCTACCTTCAGCTCACCGCTTTCTCTTGTGCCCAGTTTTGCGTTGAAGTCTCCCATCAACACCGTGTAGTAGGTTTTGGAGGAATGTATGGCTCTGGAAATATCCTCATACATTTCCTCCACCTCCTCATCGGGATGTGCCGAGGTTGGTGCGTAAACCTGAATGACCTTCAGCGAATACCGTTTGGTGATTCTGAGTATCAGGTACGCGACCCTCGTCGACACACTCCCAATCTTTACAACGTTGTTGACGAGAGATTTGTGGACGATAAATCCGACACCTCCTTGGGACAGATGGTCGCCCTCCCGGTGATAGAACAAGTTGCCGGACTCGAGGATTGCCGTGTCCTCCCCCTCTCTTCGGACCTCGGATAATCCAATAATATGCCAGCGCAACTTGTCTACCTCTTCTTCCAGCTCCAGTATCTTCTTGTCAGTGAAGATACCTCGTGGAAACTGTCCATGCGGTCGGAGCTAAGTTCTGCAAGACCCGCCGCAGAAGAACACAAAAACTCTCCGATCACACTCTTAATCTCATGGCTGTTAGACGGGAGATGAGGCTGCAATCGTCAACAGATTTGACAGCATACAGGCAACTGAACAGACAGATCTCCAAATGCATACGGCGAGACTTACGCAACTTTAATACTTCTCGTATTAAAGAAGCGATCGAGCGGAACCAGGGCTCCAAAGTCTTTGCCAGAGATCTGTCTGCCAGAAAGAGCCAACTGTCAAGGCTGAAGACTGAGTGTGGCAACATCGCTTCCGGGACACCTGAGATTTTGAGTGAGATTGAGAGGTTCTATGGGCAGCTGTACACATCATCGTTGGAGCCACACGCAAGTGTGAGTAACGATCCAAGAGCAAGTCTTATCCGACACTATTCCGATGATATCCCGGACGTCAGTCTAAGCGAGATTAGAATGGCTCTCCAGCACCTTAAAAACGGCAGGGCCCCAGGCGAGGATGGAATTACAGCGGAGCTTCTGAAAGCGGGTGGAACACCGGTACTTGAAGTCCTTCAGAAGCTCTTCAATTCCGTCCTCCATGGTGGCACTACTCCAGAGGCGTGTAGCAGAAGTGCGGTGGTCTTGTTCTTTAAGAAAGGCGACAACGCTCTCTTAAAGAACTACAGACCGATTTCCCTTCTGAGCCGCGTCTACGTGCTGTTTTCGAGAGTCATTACGAATCGTCTCGCACGCAGACTTGACGACTTCCAGCCTCCCGAACAAGCCGGTTTCCGAAAAGGCTTCAGTACCATAGACCACATACATACCCTGCGGCAGATTGTACAGAAGACTGAAGAGTACAATCTGCCACTTTGCCTGGCGTATGTGGACTATGAGAAAGCCTTTGATTCCGTCGAAATTTGGGCGGTGCTACAGTCCCTTCAGCGGTGCCAAGTTGACTATCGGTATATCGAAGTGCTGAAGTGTTTGTACAGTAGGGCTACGATGGCTATCCGAGTACAGAACCAGAGCTCGAAACCTATCCAACTGCAGAGAGGTGTAAGACAGGGTGACGTTATATCCCCGAAACTCTTCACCGCTGCATTGGAAGACGTTTTCAAGCTACTGGACTGGAAAGGATACGGTATTGACATCAATGGCGAGTACATCACTCACCTTCGATTTGCCGACGATATAGTCCTTATGGCAGAATCGCTGGAGGACTTAAGCACTATGCTCAATGACCTCAATAGTGCCTCCCAACGGATAGGTCTTAAGATGAACATGGACAAAACAAAGATCATGTTCAATGTCCATGTCACACCTATGCCGGTAGTTGTTGGGAGCACTATGCTCGAAGTTGTTGACGAATACGTTTACCTGGGACAAATAGTCCGACTAGGTAAGTCCAACTTCGACCGAGAGGTCAATCGACGGATTCAACTCGGCTGGGCAGCGTTCGGGAAATTACGGCATATCTTTTCGTCAGGTATACCTCAATCTCTAAAAACTAGATTGTACAACCAGTGCGTGTTGCCAGTGATGACTTACGGATCTGAGACGTGGTCCTTCACTGCTGGCCGTATGAGGACGCTTAAGGTCGCTCAGCGAGCTATGGAGAGGGCTATGCTCGGAGTTTCTCTGCGTGATAGACTCAGAAATGAGGATATCCGCAGTAAAACCAGAGTGACCGACATAGCCCAACGGATTAGTAAGCTGAAGTGGCAATGGGCCGGCCATATAGCTCGAAGAACCGATAACCGATGGGGAAGAAAGGTTCTCGAGTGGCAGCCTCGTACCGGTAGGCGTAGTGTAGGGCGACCCCCCACTAGATGGAGTGACGACCTGGTAAGACATGCAGGAAGTCGATGGATGCAGGTGGCTCAGGACCGTGCTTTGTGGCATTACTTGGGGGAGGCCTATGTTCAGCAGTGGACTTGTGAAGGGCTGTAATGATGATGATGATGATGAAATATATTGAATGATGACTGTACAAATTTATATGTACATTTTTTAAATTAAACTATTGGGTATCAAAAAAATCATCATAAAAAAAAATAAGTATGTATATAAACACTGACAAGCGTTTTTTTTTTAAAGATTCTTACATATTATATATTTTTGGCGCCATGCAAAATACACTTTTGTTAAATAGCACTGTTTTACTTGTAACAGAGCAGAATTTATCCGTTTGTCGCACACTAACGTGATGTTCATAAAGATGAATATTCATTTTTACGAACATGGTGACCTCTAAAATATATAGTAATGTAAGAGTTAGTTAATGCTTTTAACTTTTAAAAGGTTGTTTACACTTTCACTTTGCTGTAGATTGCATATAGCTCGTATAATACACCTCTTTTGTGCTTTAAAACATTTTCCTTATTAACGAAGTTACCCCAAAATAAACTAAAAATATAATAAAATACCATATCTTAGTGTAGAATTTACGTAACCGTTATATGCTATAAGCCTGCTAAGTCGTACATACTATATCAACATGAGACTTCCATATTAACATGCTATCGATTCTCAAACCTAAGAAATGGGTGCAATTAGTTTTACCAATATTTTTATTAAAGTGTCATGGCAGACCTATCCTTGAAAAGTCATGCATTTAGTCTTATTTAAATAATACAGAGCTGAAATTTCTTCATGTGACGACTTTATTTAATGTACAGAATGAATTTCCTAGTTTGGCTTCAGATGAGCAAACAAGTGCATTTTATGCATATCGATGCTATGATAAATGACAAGATATGGTCGTGCAAACAAAAAATTTGCACAGTTTAAGCATATAAATAATCAACGCCATCTGTTAAATACTTGTGAACTACTATGGAACCAGTGTCTCCACTTATGATTTTGGTTTTAAACTAGAACCTCTAGAAATACTCCCTAAATTATCGTAAAAAAAAAACAAAATAGCCTTATTTATTGCACCTAATTTTCAATATTTTAAGGAACAATAATATCATTTCACGATTAAAAATCTTTAGTTTTGTGATGAAGAAGACATTTTCATTTTCAAATTATAATAATACAGTCACAAACTAATAACAAATATGTAACTTAGTAAAATATTATACCATAGTTCCTATATACTACAGAATAAAAAACTTTTTCATTCTAAACTTTTCTCGGTCTTTTGACCCTAAAACCCTTAGATAAATTTTAAAAAAAAATTAAATCGGGTGAGGGGTGGTTACATTATTACATAAAAAACAGGGTTACCTGAAGTTCAATTTTACCCCAAATTATCAAAAGCCCATCTTGAAGAAATTTCTAAAGCCCTACCTTATATTAGTAGATTTACTAAAATAGTGCAAAATATCTAAAAGTGGAAATACTGCATAGACGCACGGCACGCATTGGTGCTCGCGTTGGTGCTCCATAAACATTTTCGCACCAAAGAGTCGGTGCCGTTTTGTTTGTTCACTAACCCGGTTCATACGCAGTATAATAAGACCATGATTTTATGCTATTTTAACCAATAAAGTTATAGCTTGTTAGTTCATATGTAACTCTTTTTTGTAATGGAAATGAAAAAAAACTACTATTATTATTTTGATATGCCTAATGCGGCTTGAACAGTTGCATAGCTTTAT